GGACCTCGTTACCCACCTTCGCACTAGCGACGCTTGCTACCGCGCTGCCCTCCCAGCAGAGTTCCTTGACAGGAACACCCCCCTGATGTACATCACTCTCTACTTCATAGTCACCCGCCTCCCTGACCCTCTTCGCGCAGTCAGGGACCACTTTCTCGCACTCGACCCCACAGTCCTCACTGTTGACCTACTCGAGGCTGCTGCTCTAGGTGCGAGTGAGTCTACTCTCCCTGGTACTGCACATGCTGAGGCCTTGCACACCTTCACACTTGACTCGGGTGCTTCCTGCTGTTTCTTTCGCGACAGCACCACCCTCACTCCTCTCTCTGCACCTATACCGGTCAGACTGGCTGACCCCTCAGGGGGCCCAGTTCTTGCCTGTTCCTCCACTGTTCTCCCGTGTCCGGCGGTTCCGTCCGGCTCACAGTCAGGTCTTCACCTCCCCTCGTTCTCTACGAACTTGGTGAGTACCGCTGCCCTTCAGGATGCGATGGTCACTACCACCACTCCTGGGGGTCAGCGTGTGTCGATCTGCACGTGTACACGGACGGGCCGTCACATGGCCACGTTCATCCGTCGGCCTGGGTCGAGTCTGTACACACTCGCTACCGAGCCTCCTCAGGTAGCTGCGTCTGCCTAGGTGTCCGCGTCAGGTCTGGTAGCACCCCCCCTGCTCGTGTCGCCTCCTGTCGCACCAGACTCTCCTGTGGCACCACCGACTTGGTCACCCCTATTAGAATTTATACATTATAGCAATGCGAACACTTCAGACTGTACACCAAGAGTGGTGTACAGTTGGGTTGGTTCATGCTCTAGTTTTGGGTGTATTGCGGGTAGACACCCTAATCGGGGTGAACCCAAATATCCTAGCTTAGACTTGGCTCCAACCTTGTTGGCCAAATGGGGCAACCAACTTTGGTTGGTTGGCCACCACCCCACTAGGGTTGGTTGGATGGTCCTTCCTCCCACCAGCCTACTTGGTCTTGGTGTCTTATATGCTAGGTTTGGTGTTCTTCTCCAACCATCTCTCCCTTGCATAATCTTGTGCTCTCTTGAGCTAATCTCAATGATTCTTCCTCAAGTTTCTACAACTCCTAGTTTCTTTCAACCCCTCCCTGCCAAGCCTTCGTGGCATGCACTCTCGCCTCCTTGTCTCTGGTCTTCCCAGGTCTCTGCCTCCCCTGCTGCCCTTGCCTGCCCTGCCCTGCCTTCCTTGCGTCGAGGGGCGGCAGCGCGCCACTCCTCACTCCTCCTCGTTTCCCCCGACGATTGCTCCCTTGCAGACTCTCCACATGGACGTGTGGGGCCCAGCCCGTGTCAGTGGACATGACCGCGAGCGCTACTTTCTGCTGGTTGTTGACGACTACATGCGCTACACCACGGTTTTCCCCTTGCACAGCAAGGGAGAGGTCCCTGATGTCTTGATCCATTGGATCCGCGCAGTCCGTCTCCAGCTTTGCGAGCATTTCCACCAGGACCTTCCTGACCTGCGTCTGCACTCTGACAGAGGTGGTGAGTTCTCCTCCGACCTCTTACGGGACTTTTGTCGTGGGGAGGGCATCCTCCAGTTGTTCACGCTTCCGGCCTCCCCGCAGCAAAATAGGATTACTGAGCGCCGCATTGGCTTAGCCATGGAGGTGGCTCAAACCTCCATGATCCATGCGGCTGCTCCCCATTTTCTGTGGTCGTTTGCGGTCCGGTACGCTGCGCATCAGCTCAACCTCTGGCCACGTGTCTCCTTGCTGGAGACCTCGCCTACACTGCGTTGGACGGGGAAGGTTGGCGATGCGTCGGTGTTCCGAGTCTGGGGTTCTGGTGCCTTTGTCTGCGATACGTCCGCGGACAAGCTCTCCGCCCGCGCTATTCCCTGCGTCTTCCTTGGCTTTCCCCCTGAAGCGCCTGGCTGGATGTTTTACCACCCCACCTCGCGCTGTGTTCTCCCCTCTCAGGACGTCACGTTTGACGAGTTGGTTCCCTTTTACCGTCTCTTCCCCTACCGCTCTGCCCCTCTCCCACCCCCGCCGATCTTCCTTGCTCCAGGTCCCCCTCCGGTAGTCCCCCTCCCCACTCAGGGTCCTGCTCCCTCAGGTGTGTCTCAGGTAGACCCACTCCCTGGTACTGTGCCTCTTGAGGTCGCTGTAGACTCAGGTGCTGCGTCTGGGGGTGCTGAGCCTGGGGGTGCTGAGCTTGCGGGTGCGGAGCCTGGAGGTGCTGAGTCTGAGGGTGCGGGGTTTGGGGGTGCTGCGCCTGGGGGTGTGGAGCCTGGGGGTGCTAAGCCTGAGCGTGCGGAGCCTGGGGGTGCTGAGCCTGAGGGTGCGGAGCCTGGGGGTGCTGGGCCTGGGGTTACTTTGTCTCCTGGAGGTCCTCCGGGTGCCGTTGTGGCGGGAGCCTCTCTCTCCACCGTAGCTGCGCGAGTGGTTTGCTCGGCGCACCCGTCTTCGGAGTGGCGCTTCAGGAGCCGAGGGGTCTGCCGCTGGAGGCACTGGAGCTCCTGGTCCTGGAGTTGAGGTGATGGAGCTGGAGGTGCTGCATGAGTTGGTGCTGGAGGCACTGGAGCTGGAGTTGGAGCTGCTGGACGTACTGGAGCTGCTGGACGTACTGGAGCTGCTGGAGCTGGTGGTGCTGCAGGCGTTGGAGCTGGAGACCCCGGAGCTGGAGGTGCTGGAGCTGCTAGTCTTGAAGGAGGTGGAGTTCCTGCTGAAGCTGGAGGTCCCGGAGGTGCTGGAGTTGGAGGCACTGGAGCTGGAGGTGCTCGTACTAGGGGTACTGGAGCTGTCGGGGCTGGTGGAGTTGGAGGAGCTGGAGCTGGAGACCCTAGCGCTGGTGGCGCTGGAGCTGGAGGCGCTGGAGCTTGAGCTGCTGGACGTACTGGAGCTGCTGGACGTACTTGAGCTGCTGGAGTTGGTGGTGCTGCAGGCGTTGGAGCTGGAGACCCTGGAGCTGGAGGTGCTGGAGCTGCTAGTCTTGAAGGAACTGGAGTTCCTGCTGAAGCTGGAGGTCCCGGAGGTGCTGGAGCTGCTGGTCCTGGAGGTGCTCGAACTAGGGGTACTGGAGCTGCCGGGGCTGGTGGAGCTGGAGGTGCTGGAGCTGGAGACCCTGGCGCTGGTGGCGCTGGAGCTAGAGGCACTGGAGCTGTTGACCCTGGAGCTAGGGGTACAGGAGCTGCCGGGGCTGGTGATTTTGGGGGCACTGGCGCTGGAAGTGCTGGAGCTGGAGGCACTAGAGCCCGAGGCACTAGTGCCAGCGGCGCTGGAGCTGGAGGAGCTGGAGCTGGAGACACCGGAGCTGGAGGCGCTGGCCCTGGGGCTGCTGGTGATATTGGTGCTGGTTCTGGAGACACTGGACGGTCGCGACCGTACTTCATTCCCTTTCTTTAGCAGGTTCTTGGTCTCCCGTCTTCTACTGGCCTTACTCCTCCCTTACTGTGTCCACCGCGTGACCAGTCGCAGTCGTTGTTACAGCCAGCCTTCCCACTGCCTGCTCCTCCTTACACGGAGAAGACCGGAGCTCTTACAGAGCGTCGTGAGCCTGTGTCTCATCCTGCCTCGCCTGTTTGCGCTGTTTGCACTGGTCGTCGTGTTCCTCGTCTGCGTCCTCCTCCTGTCCCCTGCACGCACCATATGGCAATTCGTCCTTCCTCTGTTCCACTGCGTGTCCCCCTGCCGTCTCCTCCTGCGTCCTCTCTTGCTGACGGTCCGAACCCTGAGTCTGACTTAGTTCGTGCTGCCAGTCCTACTATCCCTCGTCTTCTAGCCTTTGTTGTCACTCACCCTTCGTTTGAGTCTGCTGCTGCGTCTGCCCTAGTTGCTGAGCTTGTTGACTTTGCTGCAGCCTGTTGTCTTGACTACGCCGCTATTCTTGTTGCTGAGTCTGAGTCTGACTGTCCTCCGTCCGTCGGGGGTGAGTGTGCTCTTGGCACGGACGTCCTTGAGGACAGGCTGGAGGACTTTTGAGTGTTTTGCAGCTACTGTACCTCATCTCGTGTCCATGCTGATTGCACCAGAGGGAGACCCGGATGCACCAGACATCCCGACCCCGCGCTCTTACGCAGAGGCGATTACGGGTCCCTACTCCTCTCTATGGCAGAGACCCATGGACGCATAGATGGCATCCTGGAAGTTCACTGGCACTTACGTCGACGCAGTTCCCCCTCCTGGGGCGAATATAGTCGATGGCATGTGGATTTTCAGGGTGAAGCGGCTGCTGGGTTCTCCGCCTGCCTTCAAGGCTCGTTACGTTGCACGAGGCTTCAGTCAGCGACAGGGAGTTGACTTCTTCCAGAACTTCTCCCCTACCCCAAAGATGACTACTCTTCGGGTACTGCTGCATGTCGCCGCTCAGCATAAATACGAGCTTCACTCTCTTGACTTCAGCACAGATTTCTTACAGGGCAGCCTGCACGAGGAGATCTGGCTGCGCCGCCCACCTGGCTTCACTGGGTCGTTTCCTGCAGGTACTCAGTGGAGCCTCCGGCGGCTAGTCTGCAGTCTCCGCCAGGCACCTCGCGAGTGGCACGACACACTGAGGAAGACGCTTGTGGCTCTTGGGTTTGCTCCTTCTACTGCTGACCCGTTGCTGTTTCTACGCACCGACACTTCGCTGCCGCCGTTCTACGTCCTTGTGTACGTCGACGACTTGGTCTTTGCCCCTGTTGACACTGAGGCACTGGCCCTTGTGAAGTCAGAGCTGCAGAAGAGAGACACCTGCTCTGACCTGGGTGAACTGCGCAGCTATCTTGGCTTGCAGATCACCCGGGACAGAGCACGGCGCACCATCACCCTGACTCAGTCACACATGGTGCAGCAGGTCCTTCGGCGCTTCGGCTTCCGGTACTCCTTGCCACAGTCCACTCCTCTGCCTTCCGGTCACTCGCTCTCAGCTCCACCTTTGGACGAGTCTGTAGAGCCGAGTGGCCCGTATCCAGAGCTTGTGGGCTGCCTCCTGTACCTGATGACTTGCACTCGACCTGACCTTGCCTACCCTCTTAGCATCCTGGCACGCTACGTTGCGCCTGGGAGACACCGACCAGAGCACTGGGAGGCCGCTAAGAGGGTGTTGCGCTACTTGTGCAGTACTTCGGGCATGGGGCTCGTGCTTGGAGGACGGGGTCCAGCTGTCCTCACTGGACACGCAGATGCTTCTTGGGTTGACGAATTGACTACACAGTGGTCGTCGCAGGGTTACACCTTCAGCCTCAGTTCCGGCTCGCATGGACCACAGAAGGTGAGCGTTGCCTCGATCACCACTAGCATGTCCGTGTCCTTGTGCGTCTGTGGGAACGGGTATGGCGGCGAGGGGGTATGGCAGGGAGGGGGTATGGCAGGGAGGGGGTATGGCAGGAGGGGGTATGGCGGGGAGGGGGTATGGCGGGGAGGGGATATGGCAGGGAGGGGATATGGCAGGGAGGGGATATGGTGGTGGATGAGCACACACGGGTCTCAGAAGGTGACCGTTGCTTGGATGACCAACAGCATGTCCGTGTCCTTGTGGGTCTGTGGGGTTAAGTGAGAGGGTGAGGTGGGAGAGATTGAGCTGGGTTGGTGGATGCTTGAGCCACAGAGGGTAGGCGTTGCCTCAATCACCATTAGCATGTCTGTGCCCTGATGAGTCTGTGGGGTTGTGTGAGGGGGCGGAGATTGGGGGAAGACGGAGCGCGGTGGGCAAGGCGGGGTTGCACTTCTGTAACCGCTAGTTAGTCAGTGTACTTGTGTTTTTGGAGCCTTGTAACGGAGGTAAAGCAGATGCGCATGCGAATCTCTGGCATGGAAAGAAAATAAAAGCAAGGACCTTGATTGCGCTTTCTGCGTGGTCACGTATTTCAAAACGGACCTCGTGAACTGGGCGGAACGAGGTGAACCCTTATTCTACGAGTGTGCGGGATCTCCTTTCCCCCCCGTTTCCCCATTCCGCCATTCCCCTCAAGTACCCCAACAAGCGCGCGGAGCTCTTCCGCGGATCGCACCTCCAGCACGGGCCCTTGGGCAGAGCAAACCAGCCTATCCGAGCAGTCTGGCGGCTCAGCGCGCAGCCCAGCGCGTTTATAGTGAGCCTCGCACACCTGCCTCTTTCCCTTTCCCCCTTCCACATTCCCCTTCCCCATCCCCTTCTCCATTCCCCCTTGCCCCTTCCCTTCCCCATCCCTCTTTCCCACTTCCCTTATCTCTCCAAATTCCCCTTATCTCTTCCCCCTTCCCCCTCCCGCTTCCCCTTCCGTTTCCCCCATTCCCCACAACACCGTACCTCAATGAGCGCGCGGAACTCTTCCGCGGAGTGCACATCCAGCACGGGCGCCGCGGAAGTACAGCAGCTACGCGGGAACGTACGCCGTGAGCCCTGCACATCTCCCCTTCCCCCTTCTCCCTATCCCCATCTCCTCAACCTTACCCCTCCCCTCCCCAACCCCCCACCCACCCCACCCCCCCCTCCCCACGCCCCCACACGCTCTCCCTCCCCCTTTCCAAACCCTTCCCCGTACCTCAATGAGCGCGCGGAACTCTTCCGCGGAGTGCACCTCCAGCACGGGCCCTTCCGCGGAGTAGTACAGCAGCTCCGCGCGCAGCCGCTCCGCGTCCATCCCCGCGTCCTCGTGCACGCGCTGCCCCTCGCGGAACAGCACGTACGACGGCACGCGCGCGCAATGCATGCTCTGCGCCAACCCGCGCAGCTCCGCGCCCTTGTCCGCGAAAATGCGCAGGAACACCGCGTTCGGAAACAACCGCGCAGTTTCCACGAGGGTATGGTAAATCCGGTCGGTGTTTGGGAGGGTAGACATAGTAACCTCCACTACGGCGAGTCGCCCTTTGTTCTTAGCCTCCGCCATCAGCCGATCATATTCTTCGCGGCTCGAGAGGGTTATTACGCGTGCCGTCGCGGCCTCTAACGCGGCAGCCTCTCGCGCGGATGCTTCCGCAGACTCTGGGGAATTCGTGGCGGAAGAAGGCGCATGCGCGCCAGTGGTGCGCGTGGCGGCGTCGGCAGAAGACTGAGACGCGCGGGGGGTGGCTGAAGCGCGCCGAGCGGGGAAGGAGGCGGATATGTGCGGGGCGATGGCGCTGGGGAAGGTTGCGAAAAGCAGAGAGCGGCGGAGATCCAGAGTGCGTGCTGATGTGGCGCGCGGAAGAATGGCACCAGCAGGAGTTGTTGTTGCTAGGCCGCTGCAGCATGCGACTCGGTGAGCCATGACTGGGATGGCGTTCGCACGAGACAGAGCTATCGAAGCGCGATGCGCAGCGGGCTCCGGGTTCGTACGCGAGTGTTATCACCAGTCCGTTCGTCGTCAAACAAGGTCGTCGTTGATAAAGCAGCTGGGAAGGACGCCCGTACAAACGCAGGTACTACTGATGTCCTGACTTTTCGTGACTCGTTTTCAATGGTTATGCGCTGTCAGGGTTGGGCTTGGGCTGACGGGAAAAAATCGAGCGGAATCATGAAAACCCCTTTCACCTCAAAACCAAACTCAACCGATTTTATTGGTTGACAAATAATTTAGTTTCGTCAGGAATCTCACTAAACCGTACTGCAGTCAACTTCGTGGGCACACACTCAATACTGGAAGTCCGAGTTGATTATGGTGGATTCATGCTGGCTCATGGCATCTCGCGTCCTCGCCCTGATTGGCTGGGAAAACTCAACACCACCCACACAGGGTTCTTCTGCTCTGCGTGTTTTTTCATCTGCGCGTGCCCGGCATCGGCCAGAAGAGAATATCGGCGCGTTGTATACCTTGCCAAGTCAATAGCTGGATTGCACAAACCCAATAATTTCATTTCACACAACCTTTTACAAGTGAATTGGAATCCAGCTACAGATATACTGCTGAGTGGAGGCTTCAGTGTGTAAACATCCTGAATAATGTATTCTAGCAAATATGGGTGACCTGAGATCTATAATAGCCACGGGCAGATTCTTGGCAGGTCTGCTGATCGGGAACTGACGTGGACATTGCTCAACCACGCCATTCCCATTCTCACGCGATTTTTCCGTTACCTCATTCGCCAGTAGCGGCCGCGGAAGTGACAACCTGGACACAATGGATGCTTCTGGGTGAACACGAGCGGCATTCTAACAAAAGCTCAGCCTTCTAACAACATAGCAATTCGCATTTGATGCAGGCTTTATAAACGATGAAGCCCAATCAACTAGAAAAAATCAACAACTGTAGGGACAACTAGAACCCATAGGGTTGTTCACCTGTAGGGTTGTCCGCTTAGCCTACTACATTAGAAATTTATGCTCTTTCAACCCGAACCAACTTCAAAGCATGCTGGGAGAAGTTTCAGTGCTACAACAAACTTTGCATGATCAGCTCAACCACTACCATATTACAGAAGCAGCTGCGGCAGGATCGGCCTAAGCGTATTAAACGGCACAGCAGGGGCCGTTTCCTCCGCCTCCATAGCTCGCTTGAAACACTCTGCAGCGGCACCCACATCTCCCCTCCCTCTCTCCACCAATCCCAGCACATGCCACGCACGTGCATCAAACCCATCACCAGATACCACCTCCCTCAGGTACACCTGCGCCATATGCAACCACTCCCCGCCCATCTGCAGCAGCAGGGCTCCCAGCCGTGTCTTGCTGGCAGCGTGCCATTGGTCGATGGCCAAGGCGCTGCGGTAGCAGGCCAGGGCCTCCTCGGGGCAGCCTCTCGCCTCTTCTAGCATACCTGGAGGAGCGGGACAGAAAATGCGAGAATGAAGATGTGAGAGTGAGGATGTGAGTGAGGATGTGAGGATAGTGAGGAAACTAAAAGAGAGGGAAGCAGGGGGCGGGAGAGAGATGGAGGAGAAGGGCTTTTGATAGTAGGTGTGGGGGAACAGTTTGGGAAAAATGAGGAACATTGTATGAAGTGTAAGGATGCCACCACCTGCTATTCTATCGATTCCCTCCATATACCAATATATTTTCCTCCAACCTACTAATGAAAGACATTGCTTCATGACTCACCCGCCACCATCCACGTGTCAGCAGAGTACAGGTCCAGCGTCTGACACTTGGCAACACAGAGGTCGGCATCTGCCGCCCGCCCGCCGGCCAGATACGCCTCCGCCAGGCACTGCCACACCACTGCTTCAGTCACTGAGCCGCCCTGTGTGGGGGGAAGAGGTTTGATCGGGAAAATGTATGCTTGAATGCTTGAAGCCATACATTCACCCTGCTGTGCAATGAGTAATGCTTCCATCAACCATGCTAGACACCATGCAGTGTACCATGCTTCAGCAGCTGGATATGCTTCAACCACCCACACTGCCACACTGACTATACGCCCTCCCCCCTCCCTCCCTTTCCCCTTCCCTCACTCCTTCCCTCCCTCACTCCCGCCATGCTCTCACCATGTCGCCTCGCTTTGCCGTGCCTGTACAGCCGCCATGGCTTGTTTCAAGCTCTCCACAGCCTCACCAACCTCTTCCCTAAATCCCTCCTTCCCTCCCTCCCTCCCTCCTCCTGCTCTCACCATGCCACCTTGCCTCTGCCATGACTGCACAGCAGCCATGGCTTGCTTCAAGCTCTCCACAGCCTCTCCAACAACACTGCCACTATGCCACACTGCACCACTGACTCAACTATCATTACCCCTCACTCCTCCCACCCTTTATCCAGGCCCATGCTCTCACCATGTCGCCTCGCTTCTGCCGTGACTTTACGGCCGCCAGGGCTTCCTTCAAGCTCTTCACAACAACCTCTCCAAACCCTTCCCTCCCCCCTTCCCTTCCCCCTTCCCTCCCCCCTTCCCTCCCCCCTTCCCTCCCCCCCTTCCCTCCCCCCTTCCCTCCCCCCTTCCCTCCCCCCTTCCCTCCCCCCTTCCCTCCCTCCCTGCCCCTGCTCTCACCGTGTCGCCTCGCTTCTGTCGGGACTGCACAGCCGCCATGGCTGCCTTCAAGCTCTCCACAGCCTCTCCAACGCCTGCACTCACACCACCACCGCCTATAGTCACACCACTCCCATCCGCCCCTCCTCCGCCTTCCCCATCCCCCCCCTCTCCCCCTAGCTCCCCACTCGCTAGGTGCACCTTAGCATGCAGCACCAGCAGCGCTGCCCTTGCGCCCTCCCCTTTCTCCCCCCCATCCGCTCCCCCTCTCCCCGTTCCCCCTCCCCCTGCGGCCCCCGCTCCCCCCGCTTTCTTCATGGCGGCTTCCCCCACGCGGCACATGTCTTCAGCGTCCTTGAATCGCTGCTGACACGTCAGCAGCAGCGCAAGCAGCTGCCACGTCAGCAGCCACCGTCCGCCGCCGGCTTTCAGCGCGCGCTTCGCGACCTTCAGCGCCTCGCTGACGTGGCGCTGCTCGGCCAACGCGAGCGCGAGATCCACCATTATAGCTGCTGACGTGGCATCCTCTTCTGACGCCTGGGTCAGCGACTCGACGGCACGCTTTAAACTCAGCTCACGCCGAGCCGCGGAAATATCGTGCCTGCGCGAGTGTAGCAGGAGATTAACTCCCAGCGCGTGGAGCACCTTGGCGCGCTGCGGGCCGCTGCTGGCAGCGAGCTCGACAGCGCGTTCCCCGTACCGCACGCCCTCTTCGCTCCACGTGTCACGCCGCGCGCAAATCACGGACGCGAGAATAAGAGACGGAACGTGGTCGGGCCGCTCTGAAGGTTGAATCGCGTTTCGGACGACGTCTAAAGCGAGCGCCTCGTCGCTACTATTGTCGTTACTATCCCCGCCTCCCCCGGCGTCATTTGCGCCACCCGCGGGGGAGCTTGCGGGGTCCGCGGGGTTGGCGGGGCCACACGCGGAGGCGGAGACGGCAGCGCGGAAATGCGCGCGTGCTAGGCGGAAGAAAAGGTCGCTACGCGGAAGGGCGTCGGGGGGGAGCGCGAGGAGATCCGCGACGGACTCCGCGCCCCCGTTGACCTCCGCGCCGAGCCCTAGCCCGTCCACGGGACCGCCCATGGCGTCAGTGGGGAGGGGACAGGGCCGCGCGCAAGTAGGCACGGGCGGAAGGAGAGCAAGCAGAGAGTCAGGGGAATAGATGGACAGTGGGTGGCGACGAATGCCTTGCCTCAAAACAATGACTCTACAAGAAACGGCAAGCGCGTGAACACGAGAGCTTTTCTCCCCCCGCTGCACCGGGGGCCACTGGCTGTAGTCGAATCGCGGTAACTTCGAAACGACCAGGCCGCAGCGTGTTAGATTGCACAACTACTATGCAAAATTGCCGCCTAGACTGGCATAATAATCCAAATTTGGTATCTTGTATTGCGGGCCATCACGCTGTGTGAACTAATAGTTGACGAGGGGTTGAGTGGGTTTGAGAACGATGGCTAGAGTTTGGAGCATTTTGCCTCGGTTGACTAGGAGCTGGGGTGCCGAGTGGAATCGGGATGGAGCAGAGCAGACGTGACAAGAGGGAGAGAATGAACGACTTCGATACAAGTGGTTTGCGTTAAAAACAACGCTATGAGACCATACATATCACTCATACTTGGATCAACTGCACTTACGCAATTCAAGGTGAATGATGTTTCTCAAACAGCAGGTATGAATTAAAGTCCCCACTTTGTCAAGTCATCAGAAACTTACTCTAACAACCCCTGTTTCTCCTTCACCCGCCCTTGCTCGGCCTTCCCAGGGCAAGCACCAACACCCGCACCTCCTATCATCCTTCCCTCTCTATCCCTTCTGCAGTTCATCCACATACCCTGCAAGCACGGCCCTCCCGCCCCTCCACCACCCTCACAGCATCAATCGCAGGAGCCACTCTCAGCATGAAAGCATCCACTCCTCCCCCAACCTCTCTTCCTCCCTCATCCTCTCCCCTTCATTTATCCCCTCTCCCTTCCCGGGGAGTCCCACCAGGTGCCATGAACCAGGGCACAGCAGACAGAGCCATGTCCTGCCAGATGGCCAAATCTGATTGATAAGATTCTGCTGCGGTTTTTGCTGCTGAAGCTGCTGATGGTGCTGCAGGTGATGGTTTGTGAGGGACGGAGGATACCAGCGATCCTTTCACAAAGGAAAATCGCAGAGCCACGTCATCCCCACCTTCCCCATTTCCTTCCTCTGACCCTGCTTCTCCTTTCCCCACCGCTCCTCCTCTTCCTTCACCCCCACCCCAGCACCATCCAGCAGCATCCGATACTCCCCCGTCCACTCCCGCCCCTCTTCCAGCGCCATCATCGCCTCAACAGCGTCACCACCGGCGCATAGAACGCCCTGCTGCTGCTCTCCTGCATCATCCCATCCAGGATTACCCCCTCCGCACACGCCACCAGCACATCACACCCCGGCTCCCTTTGTACTACCAGTCAACACAGGATCCCTTTGTACCTCTCCATATAAGCCTCATCCACAGGATTCCTAGTCGACTCAAGAGTCACCCCTCAGTAACTGCACCACAGCCTCCCTTTGTACTTCCACATGTAAGCCTCATCCTTATCAATACTATACCCATCAACCAGCTCCCTATTCACACTGTGCATCTTCTCCCGCACGTTTTTCGGCCGCTTCTCCGCAAAGCAAGCGCATGGCACCCCGCTTCTCGCCTTCCTCACCCGAATCATAGAAGTATCTGGCAACTGCTTCCTCTACTTCTCCCAGTAGAACGAGCGACGTGAGATGCAGTACAGGGCGAGAGAGGGACAGAATTCGCGCAGGGAAGCAAGGGTCTGCTCCTCGCATGTGCTGGTGGGGAAGAAGATTGCTCTCAAGTTTGGAGCCAAGATAAACGGAGGTCTTTCTTCTTGCTGCTGCCCCTCCTGCTCCTCCCCCTTCTGCTGCCGCTGCTGCAAACGTTGCTGCTGCAAAATCTGCTGCTGCAAACGTTGCTGCTCCTGTAAAAGCTGCTGCAGCTGCTGCTGCGGCGGCAACTCCCGCTGCTGCGGCTGCCGCGGCCGCTGCCTCTGCCTCTGCCGCTGCCGCTGCTGCTGCTGCTGCTGCCGCTGCCTCTGCTGCTGCTGCCGCTGCTGCAGCCTCTGCTGCTGCTGCAAAAGCCGCTGCTGTAAATCCTGCTACTGAGAAATCTGCTGCTGCAAACGCTGCCACTGCCGCTGCCGCTCCTCCTGCCGCTGCTGCTACAAAAGCCTCCCATTGCGCTCCTGAAACTCCTCCACTGTAACCTCCCTCTCTCCATCATCCCGACGCTTCTCAACCTTCAAATCCACCTCAAAACGCTCCTCTCTCTCCACGACAATCCCAAGGCTGCGCAAGCTGCTCCACTCCGCGTCAACCCCCTCTACAGGCACCCCATGCCTCACTATAAGCACCTCCATTGTTGACGCTATGGTGCGCAGCCACTCAACCCAGGAAAATTCAAGAGAAACTTCTGGGGACAATTCAGGAGAGTCCAGGTAGGAAGAATATTCGTCATTGCGGGAGTGGTGGTCTTTGGAAGGGCCGTTGAGATAGGCCACTCGTACGGAAGCTAGGTGGAGGGAGGAGATGACAAGCCGCTGCTGGCCATACAGTGACAGATGGTGGAGAGCGAGAGGTTCGGTGCTCTTGCACAAGAGCACGAGCTGTTTTTGTGAGAATCCCAACCACTAGACCATTGGGATAAAATGGCTTGTTAAGTAGCGGGTCAGTGCGCCCATAACCCCCCAGGACAATGAGCCTGTAACCCTTCCCTAGGATCAATCGGGGATCACCAGTGGACCTCTGACACCCCCCCGCACTGGGATGCCCGAAGTGCACACACTGGGATTCGAACCCGAGACCTTCGCTCTGATACCATGTGAGAATCCCAACCACTAGACCATTGGGATAAAAGGGCTTGTTAAGTAGCGGGTCAGTGCGCCCATAACCCCCCAGGACAATGAGCATGTAACCCTTCCCTAGGATCAATCGGGGATCACAAGTGGACCTCTGACAGTTTTGCCATGGCTGAGAAGGTCGTGAGCGAGCAAGAGAGAGTGAGGGAGAGCGTGAGGCTGCTATGCGGGAAGTAAAAGCGGACGGTTTGAGCCTTTGATAAGTCGAAACAGAATGTGCCGCCGCCACCGGGGCCGGAGGATGGGTCGTCCAAACTCCAGCTATGATAGAGAACAAACTCCGTGAGCCGCCATGTGACCGAGCCTAGATTCTTAAGATCCACGTAGCTCCAATCCACGTGTTTGAGGGTCAAACTGCGCAGCGACTTGTACTGCTCAGCCCAGCCTCCCTGGAGATACCACTTGCCCCGGCCGAGCTTCAGCCGCTGCAGGCCTGGGCAGTCAAAGGAGTGTGCCCAGGAATCCTCATCCTCTTCATCCTCATAATCCTTCAAATGGTCGTCAAACGTTTCGGATTTCTCGACACAACCGCGCAGCTTGAGACCGAGAGAGGTGAGGGAGGTGAAGGGCTGGCGGAGCGGCGAGCAAAGGTTCTCGAGCTGCTCCATATCCGTGAAGGTGAGGGCGAGGGACCTGAGGCGGGGGTGGCGCAGGAAGAATTCGATGCTCTTGATCCACTGCGGGTGTAGCTCGTTGTAAACCAGGTCGATGGGGTGGTGGGCCTGCAGAGAGGGACGGATGGGATCGGTGGAGGAGAGAACGCGAGTGAGGGACGGGAAGCAATGGGATTGGATTGGGGTTGTTAGATAGACTGATTTAGGATCTGTTTACAACCAAAAAAAGGGGGGTGGAATCTGGTAGTATGCGTTTCAAAGCCAAGGAGAACAAGTGCAGCGGAGCAGAGCAGAGAAGACAGCAGAGCAAAGTAGAGCAGTACTCACGGAGAAGGAGAGCACGAGGGCAAGGAGCCTCTTGCTGGCCATGGCGCAGCACAGTAGGGCCCACCCACTGCCATAGCTCCTCGCATTCTTCCAGTGCTGCCCGGCTGCTGAAAAATCAGGGTCCGCAAATCTCACGGGCAGGTTCCTGTCCATGGAAACTGCCCATGGAAACTTTCGCCTGCCCCGGACAAGGGGAGTCTCAGGGTAGGAGGAGCCGGGTGGCAGCAGCAGGTAGCGAAATACTTTGTGCCAGAGGTAAGCCGGCAGAATGTCTATGGGATCACCGGGGGTGGCGGATGGATGGATAGATGGGTGAGATGGGTGGGATGGATGGGAAGGGGATTGATGGGGGAAAGAAAAAGGAGAATGATTTGGATTGGACTTTTTTAGTTTATTTTTTAAGCGCCCAAAAAATGATGTTCTTCTCTCCCAAATCTCCATTTGAGCATCTCCTTTCAAGCACTCAAATGGAGATGCTCGAACGAAGTGCTCAGTTCGAGCTACTCTCGTAGCGCTCACCCCACCAACACTAAAAAAACTCCATAGTGCAGAGAACGAGAATGAAGTAAATGGCATAAACTCTTTGACGTGATGGAAATGCGAGTTTTTTCACCCCACGATCTTATATTCTGAAACTCTTCCCCCGTACGAGCGACAGAGAGGAGGAGAGAGAGGAAACGACGAAAAAAATTGGTACAGGGTGAAACGGATAGAATCTAAACGGGAATTGGCAGCAGGGACAAGAAACATAAATTACTGAACGAGGTGCAAGCTAGTTGTTTTGCAGTACACGTAGCGTATAGCTCGCGAGGAAGCAAAAACAGGAGGGATAGGAACAGAGGACGGGGAGAATAGGAGGTGGAGGGGAGAGGAACAAACTGACAAGAAATGCCTGGGGGATTTTTCTCAAACTCTCAGATGTTTAATCTAGAAAAAGTTTTACAAGCAGGGGAAGTCTATATGCTTTTCGTTCGGAGCGATAGGATGAGGTGAAAAGTGGGATACTGCGTCGCGAAATAATGGGAGCCCTTGCCTTCCGGGTCAGCATTGTTCTTCTGTCGCTTCTCCTCCCGTCGCTCGGCGCGCTCTCTCAGTTCGCCAGTAGGCTGTAGCGCTGCCATGGAAAATGAAGTTTCTTAAGCTCCCGCTTTGCCAGTGGTAATCATGTATTCTTAAAAAGATGCTATGTATTCAATACAAGAACCATGCATTTGCAGTCGTCACTTGAACTCGAGCGCACTTGTCGCGCGCGACTATGGTGCCTACCTAGTATTCAGTTAGCGGCTGTTCAAACGGGTCTGGCCCATTATCCAACACTGAAATGCAACATGCCCATTTGAAAAGGTCACCCCACCTCAACCTTCTTTCGTATCACATTCACTTTGACGATCATTCTGGTGCGCAGTCTGAAACAGTGAACCGTTTGGAAAAATGACGAACGAGTCGCCTGCACAACTCAACGGTCAAATCCACAAGACCCACTTTTGCGCAGCGTCTCGATACACTCGAATATCTTCGCTGAACATTTGATGGCAATGGTAACGTACCTCACAGTGCGAAAAAAAGTATTGTGTCTACAGAAAAAGCATAATATATTCCAACAAGTTAGCAATGATGAAACCAATGGTTCCTCATAATGTTCTAGCACTACTGGACATACCGTACCCTGCTGCACGGCCCTCCCTCTCCTCCACCACCCTCACCGCCTTAATCGCACAGCATTAGGGCCACTTTCGGATGAAAAAACCCACTGTTTCACCACCCATCTTCATCCCTCATTCATCCCTATAATCCATTCCGTGAGTCCTCGATCCCATCCCCCCTTCCTCCCTGATTGCCCTTCCACCCCCTCTGCTCGCCCTTCCCCAGGCACCACACCAGGCACCAAGATCCAAGCCACCTTCATCCCATTATAGTCACACTGCCACGCTGTCACACGCTCCAATATTCGCCCCTCCAATCATCCTTCCCTATTACTGCTGCGGTTCATCCACATACCCGGCAGCACGGCCCTCCCTCCCCTCCACCACCCTCACCGAAGCCACTTTCGGCATGAAAGCAATCACTGCTCCCTCATTCCCCCCCATCCCCCCCCTTCCTCTCTCACCCCCGTTACCCATTCCCTGTGTACTCAGCACCTTACCCTCCCCTGCTTCTCCTTCACCCCCCCCTTCTCGCCATTCCGCAGGAGTCTCACCAGGCACCAGGCGCCATGAACTAGGGCACCTGCAGCCCCTTATAGTCACGCCGCAGTGCCAGGAACCCCGACCCGTGATCCTTTCACAGTGACGATACCTTGTGAAATGGGGGGGGGGGGAACCAGCGAAAACGCCCTGCTACTATCAGAAGTACTAGGAGTACGGCCTAGGCTTAGTAGCCTAGGCCACAGTAGGACTAGTAACGAGGAGCCAAGTACGAGCTAGGATTGTGTGCAGCAACAGAATTGAGAAGGAATGATTGAACTAGCAAGCAGCAGGATACAAATAGCAAACCCTAAGGGGCTGTACTCACTATAGAGTACCCCACTGCAGGCTACACAAACAACATATTCTGACACACCCCCATAGCCAAAGTGGGGTGTAATCAGCACAATGAGCAGTCATAGCAATAGTTCATAATTATCAGCAAAGCTAGAGGCTATCACAGAGGGCAAGTGAGGAGGAGGAGGGACTATGAAAGGAGAGAAGATGGGAGGCTACGACTGAAGCTGCAGACACACGGGCAACAGAAGCGGCTGACACAGTGGCGGCTGACACAGTGGCTACCGAGACAGAGCGCCCCGGAATACTGGAGTAACTGGCTCTGCGGCTACGACGAGCGGCAGAAGCAACGGACCCACGGGCGACTGGTGCAGCAGGCTCTCAGTGGCTACCGAGACAGTGCGTCCCGGAATACAGGAGTAACAGGCTCTGCGGCTGCGACGAGCGGCAGGAGCAACGGACCCACGGGCAACAGGTGCAGCAGGCTCTCTGAGCTACCAGGACAGTGCGCCCCGGACTACAGGTGCTGCGGACGACAAGACAGCAGCCTCCACTCAACCTCCCCCAACAGTCCCACACCCCTCTCACACACCCCCTGCTTCACCCCTAGCTCCACTCCCACATCACCCCCCTAGTGCCACTCCCCACGACTCCCACACCTCCACCCCCCTCAGCGGCAGCTGCAGCAGTGGGAGACGAAAAAGGAGGAGGGGAGAACCCACACCTCTCACCCCCATGCTCGCCACCCCACACCCCAGCCACCGCGGAACGCACGGTGGAATGGGAGCAATGGGCAGCACCGGGGGGGGGGGGGGGGGGACGGGGCGGGCTTCTGCAGAGGCGGCTCGCGCGGGTCCTGGGGCGGCTGCTGCAGGTGCGGGCTGCTCCAGGGGCGGCTGCTGCAGGTGCGGGCTGCTCCAGGGGCGGCTGCTGCAGGTGCGGGCTGCTCCAGGGGCGGCTGCTGCAGGTGCGGGCTGCTCCAGGGGCGGCTGTTGCAGGTGCGGGCTGCTCCAGGGGCGGCTGCTGCAGGTGCGGGCTGCTCCAGGGGCGGCTGCTGCAGTGGTGGGCGGCTCCAGGGGCTGCTGCTGCAGTGGCGGGCGGCTCCAGGGGCGGCCGCCGCAGTTGAAAGGCAGAAGGGGGGGGGGGGGGAAACGCACGGCCCCCAGGGCGCCCCGAGGGGCGACGAGAAGGGAGCCGCGCGGCCCCCCCCCCGGGGCGCCGCGACGGGCACCAGGGAGGGCGCCGCGACGAGCCCCCAGAGCCGCCTCGACGGGCGACGGGGAGGGTGCCGCGCGGGCCCCCCGAAGTCGCCTCGACGGGCGACGGGGAGGGCGCCGCGCGGGCCCCCCGAAGTCGCCTCGACGGGCGACGGGGAGGGCCGCGCACGGCCCCCGAAGTCGCCTCGACGGGCGACGGGAGGGGACCGCGCGCGGCCCCCGTGGTCGCCACGACGGGCGACTGGTGGGGAGGCCGCGCGGGCCCCCAAGGTCGCCTCGACGGGCGACGGGAGGGGAGGCCGCGCGGGTCCTCGAGGTCGCCTCGTCGGGCGACGGGAGGGGAGGCCGCGCGGGTCCCCGAGAGCGCCTCGACGGGCGCTTCGACGGGAGGGGACCGCGGAGGCCCCCCCAAGGGCACCACGACGGGCGCCACGGAAGGGAAAACCGCCAGGCGCCGAGAGCGCGGCGGGCAGAAATTAGGGTTTCGCCGCCGCGCACCACGGGGCGCGCGGCGGACAGTACGGCAGCGGAAGCGGGTGGTGGGCCCATACACAGGAAGGCGGCAGACATGCCGCCCTCTGATACCATGTTAGAATCTAGAATAGAACGAGAATGCATGAAACTAGGTAGGAGGGGGATACAAGTAGGAAACCCTAACAAAGCTGTACCCCCTAAGGCTAAACCCACTATAGCCTACACAATATAAACATATAATGTTTGACAGCTACCACCGCTGCTACCACCGCTGCTACCACCACTCCCACCACCACTGCTGCCCTGCCCCATGCCATCCAGGATTACCCCCTCCGCACACGCCACCAGCACCAGCACGTCACAGTCGGGGAAGTTCGCGAGCTTCTCAGGTGTGATCCGCCGCCTGATTGCAATTACATACCCCTTCTTCCCCGCGGCTATCACAACAGACCGGAGAGCGGTGACAGCATCCGGCAGTCCCGCATCGTTAGTTATTATGCATTATTCTTCTACACCACACCCTACTTCACAATATCAAATACATATGTTGACATGTCTGCAACTATGAATGCTAGAGGCGGTCCGAGCTGTATTCGGTCTTCCACAGGCTCCCTTTGTACTTCCACATATGAACCTCATCGGCATCAACACTATACTTGACTGTTTTTTTAGTCGATTCATGAGTCACCCTCAGTATCCGCTCCACAGCCTCCCTTTGTACTTCCACATACAAGCCTCCTCTACATCAACACTGTACCCAACAACCAGCTCCCTATTCACACATTGCATCTTGTCCCGCACGTTCTTCGGCCGCTTCGCCGCAAAGCAAGCGCATGGCACCCCGCTTCTCGCCTTCCTCACCTGAATCATAGGAGTATCTGGCAACTGCTTCCTTTGCTTCTCCCAGTAGAACGAGCGGCGTGAGATGCAGTACAGGGCGAGAGACGGACATAATTGGCAGAGGGAAGAAAATGTTTGCTGC